TCGCCTAACATGGAACCAACATATTAAAACCAAAAGGCAAGAACTTAATCTTAAATACAGAGGCCTGTTTAGGTTAATGGGACGGAACAGCAAGCTATCAGTTGACAATAAACTCCTGATCTATAAAGTCATCTTGAAGCCTGTCTGGATGTATGGCATTCAACTATGGGGAAGCGCAAATAACTCAAACATCCAAGTTATCCAGCGAATGCAAAACGTTATACTACGGTCTCTGTCTAATGCTCCGTGGCTAATAACTAACAGCGAGATCCACAAGTATTTAGAAATGAACACGGTGAAGGATGAAATCCAAAACACCACAATGAAGTACCAAGTAAGGCTGGAAAGTCATCCGAATGAACTGGCAGTCAACTTAACAAACCGCAGCTATTTTAAACGCCTTAAGCGAAAAGATATCTTGTCTCTCTAAGGACAACGAGCTAAGAGTAGATGTTCTCAATGGAGGGTACACTCGTCTAAATAAATACACTATTTCCAAAGCATTTGCTTAAAGCTTGGAGCTGATTGCAAATAAACATATAATATAATAAAAAAAAAACATTAATATATTTAATATTCAATTTTTTTTTTTTTTTTTTTTTTTTAAAACTGATAAACAATATTTAATTCTTAAACTTGTAACAATGAACCTAAAACTAAAAACCTTAAAAATATAATATAATAACTAAAATTAACATTATCTACAAGAATAATATACAAATACTAATAATATTCAAATATCACCCCGTATCGTTTCTGGCGCAAAGGTGCCCGTTATGCTTGCAGCATTGCCACGCTGGATGGCAATAGACAATCTTTGTGCCAGAAACGACCCGGAGCGAGGGTCATTAGTTTTTTGCCTGAGTCGGCGGCCCAGGTCCCACACAAATTGCTTGGCCTCTGCGCTCCAACAACCCGCCGTTTCCACCGCCAAAGGCACGAAAATATATCCTTGCCCCAACGAGGAATATTTTAAGCGCTTCGCCGTTGCCTGATACTCAGCCGCCGCCCCAGCCCTGCGTGTCGTGCGGCCGATGTGGGTAGCGGCGAAAGTGCTGACACACGTCGCGTCCCACACCAAACATCGTCCCTTCTCCCACGGTACCAATGTAAGTCCATCAGGCCGTTTTCCGTCTATGCGGCTGAGACCAGGTCGTTCGAGGACGGAAGGAACGCCGGCCGACCTAAGACCTCTCAACACTATGTCATTTAGAGCATGGTGACGTGGGTGTCTGCCTGTACATCGACGGCAGCTCAATGCGTGATGGCCGTCAGCCCCCACCATGGTACCGCAGATGCATACATGTGGTTGACATACATCGCAGCCCAAGCGGAGGGCGACCGCCACCCGCAAAGAGTCACCGTCAAGTAAAGTGCCCATATGAGGCGAAGGTAACGCGTGCAGCCACGCCCCGGATTCAGGCTGTGAAACCGCCAAAATCCTCGCTAGATCGACTCCCGTTGCACCACCAGTAAGCAGTTCAAGTGTCGCTTTACAATTAACGTCGTCCCATGAGCGCTGGAACTCGGGGTTCCTAGGCACGGCTGCACCCGGGACGAGAGCTAACCAGGCTGCCAAAGCATCGGCCGCAAAGGGTACGGTCACCTTGTCGCCATTCATAGACAGAATATTAGCTACAAGGCCCGAAACCCCATGGGCCGAGGCCAAGAAAGCCGGGAGACTCACATCACTAACAGAACGCACCCCAATACCCCCGTATCGGATTGGCAAAGATGCCTGTTTCCAGTGGTTGCCACTCAGGGAGACATTCAAAATTGTCTGAACCGCATTTTTTATGACAGCGTCAAAAGAAGCAATATCATCACGGAACATCCAAACTGGAGCCGTCCGAAGGAGGTATGTTATTTTTGGGATGGCAAAACATTTCTGCAAGAGGACTAGAGCAACGTGAGGAGCAATGGCCTCTAGACGCTCGCTGGCCAGCAAGAGAACATCCTTACGAGTTTTCATGGCCTCCGGAACTGCAGATGGAAAAATAGGAGCACCAAGCAAATTAAAAGAATCTTTATTGAGCTCCTTGAGGCCCGGAAGTAAACAAGTGAAAGACGAGAAGGATTGAGATGACACCGAACTACAGGAAAAGAACTCGCATTTTGTAAAATTTACCTCTAGACCTAACTCCCCCAGACGAGGTAATAAGAAAGCTAAGTCCCTTTTCACTTCTTCTGGTTTACCCCCAATGGTCCCATCATCTAAGTACCAGATGTTGAGGGGCGATTTGAGCTCAGTGATCACTTTGTGAATGGCAAGGCTAAAGGCGAGGGGGCCGAGGGGGTCTCCCTGTTGCGCACCAACCTGGGACAGGATTAAATCAGTGCCAACATATAGGTTAGAAGGTATATGATATGCCTGGTGGAGGAAAGGATAAAGCTCAGGGATATTCTCCATCACCTCATGAAGCATGACGTCCCTTTCAAGAGTATTGAAAGCGTTCTTCAAATCTAGCTTAACTATCACTCCATCCACATTCTCCGGATCCATTGCAAAAGTCCGAACCGCATGTATTCCCGCCTCACAACCTAGACGTATCCCAAAACCTAATTGATGTGGTTGAAGGTAGGAAGCCATTTGCTCCTTCACAGCTCGGCATCCCAGCTTGGCCACTAAGCGCCGAAGCACACTCCCTACTGCGATAGGTCTCAACCCACCCTCCTTCTTCTTCAAGGCACATAGTGTCGCCCCATATAAATAGGGACACACATCAGGATTCAATTGCCCACTGAGCAAAAAATTACTGAGCCTAGTTAAGGCTTTAATCAAGCGCTGACCATTATCTCCCGCAGAACTAGAAATCAATTCCTTCAAATGGGAAGGACGAATGCCATCTAAGCCGGCAGCTGATCCATTATAAAAAGAGTTAACAGCCAGCACCACATCCTCCTCCGTCACCAACAACCCCGGAATGCACGAGACCGGCTCCGGTGGAAAATGAAGAAGACGGGACGGATGCGGATGTTTTGATTGAAGGGCAGCAACAGTCTCCGGTCCCGGCGGTGCAATGGAGTCTTCGCTCATGAGTAACCGAACCGCTCCCCTCAAATCACCCTCGTGGACTTTAGACTCAATTACCCTTGTTAGTGACAGTGGCTTCCTCACTAACAATGCGCAGTCAGCGGAAGAAAAACAACGGACTACACCTACGTTTACTTTGACTTTAGAAGTAAGAGAGCCATTACCGGCCTTTTCGGGGGTTCTAAAGGCAGTGTAAGAGAAAGAAAGAAGAGAACTCCACTCTTCCAACCCATTAGTGGCGACACAACCATCAATGATGTCACATAGTCTGCCTGCTGCCACACTCCTCGCACCCTTTGGAATGTGACGCAGAACACGAACTGTGTCCCTAAGTGTTGCAAGCTGATCGAGTAATATGCAACGGTCGCAAGACTGCGGATTAGCTGCTCCCGGCGTTGATGGGGCAATAACCGGTGCGGCAACGGACGGTGGCGGCGGGGGCTGAGAGAGGGGACTGAGTACATCCCTGTGTATGCGCGTAATATGTATCTTGAGACCTCGTGACGTAAACTTTCGTGATGAATTGTGGCAATAGGGACACGTCGACTCAGGGAGACTACTCATTGCATACAATAAAAATTAAAAATAACAAAATAAAATAAAAATAATCGTTACCGTTTATAAAATAAAACTCACAAATGAATATACATAGTACATTTCTTGCAGGGGCGGAATGTTATTTAAAAGCTCAAACAGTACTTCAACGTAATGAAAAAGCCAAGGGCTTCCTGGACAAGTTGAGCAAGTCGTTCGATCAAGTTATGTCGTTGATTCAGTCGCTGCGGTTCATAAAGTTGCAGCTGCCGCTGTCGCTGCTGCTGCCTGCGCTGCTGGACTTTAGCCGCGTGGTGCACGTGGCACGCGACCCCAGGGTCGTGGCCGTCTCCTCCTACCACCACTTCTTTACAAACACGGGCTACACAACCAGCTTCAAAACATTCACTAGAACTGGAGGCAATAAAAATGCAGCGACGAAACATAATATAACATTTGAAAGCTTGTTTTTCATAATAACATGAACAGATACTTTTAGTTTTTTATTTATATCCAATTAATTTTAAATCGTGTTTATAATTGCACAATTTTATAATGATGCTGTCATATGTAACGTCATATGTCATATATCTATATATATATATATATATATATATATATATATATATAGCGACATACTGACCGCAGGCGCCCCCAGCAGATAGAACGCGCCGCACACAGTGGCGGGGCTGGCGCTGCGGTCCGCGAGCAGCCCCGCTAGTATTGCGCTAGTACTGCGCCCCCCATATATATATATATATATATATAGCGACATACTGACCGCAGGCGCCCCCAGCAGATAGAACGCGCCGCACACAGTGGCGGGGCTGGCGCTGCGGTCCGCGAGCAGCCCCGCTAGTATTGCGCTAGTACTGCGCCCCCCATATATATATATATATATATATATATATATATATATATATATATATATATATATATATATTCAATTGGCTATTAATAATTGAATTGTTTATATAACTAACCACAAAAATTTGGCGATGGGTAGGCACAAAACCAGCTGCGCTGTACCTATTCCTATTTCCTATTCATATTTAAGTATTAGTTATAACAGATATGGAAATACAAGTGCTTTATTTGTATTTGTACATATACCATCGCGGACTTTTGTAAATACCTTTTTAAGGTGTACAATACTGTAGTACATTATTTTGATCTATCTCGTAGGGTTCAGCCAGCGTTTGCAATGTAAGCGCATAAAAATGTGTTTATTTACGACCTTACATTTAAAACCTTTAAAATTATCAGTGTTTCTCTACATTATGCATGTATTATACATATAAACACTCCTCTTGAATAACTTACTCTATCTATTATAAAAACCGCATCAAAATCCGTTGCGTAGTTTTAAAGATCTAAGCATACATTTTGCTTTATACTATGTAGTGATAGTGATTTCATGTTTTCTTTGCAGACTATTATATTAATCGTCAATGCGCCGTGCCTCGCCTGTCGCACGGGAGGGCCAAGAGTAGATTCAGAAGCAAGATGATCAAATATATATGTCAGACTGGCTATACTCTCGTCGGCAATAGGTACTCCACCTGCACGAACGGGCAGTGGGATACACCTATACCTATATGTGTCAGTAAGTGTTTTTGTTACCTAACTCTTAAATACTCTTTCGTATCTCTTAAAATAGGAGTTGTCTCCGAAAGTACCTACTCATCAAATTTTCAACAAAACTAGTATGGAACAATCTTGCTAAAAAATCGGTTGTCTGTAAAGTCGGTAACGTGACAATGCTTTTTTACAATGTACATAGTTTTTACAAAAATGAATGTGCACTTTTCACTGCACTTCATACTTGACGAAAACATGTAAATGTGTTATTGTATAGTAGCTGTCCACGCGGACCACCGCTCACTCAAGTAGGAGAGAGACAGATGTCGAACGCTGCCGAACGCGGAGGCCGATTGTGCCTCTTTGTCGCTCGTTACGCGCTCTCGTTTGCACTTCAAGCCTTAAATGGAACGCCTCAGAGCGAGGTAACACCGCATGAGTCATGTTTTTTCGTGCGTGCAGCCGGCTCCATCGAATTACCTATAAGACGTTGTCACGTCAAAAACTCATTCAAACAAGTAACAACAATAAAAAACTATAGTGACGAATTAAGAACTCCTCCTATTTCAAACATGTCAAAAGTCATTACAGACTCTTTTTTTGCTTCCCAAGAGCCTGGGTGTATCGTGCCAATCCTGAAGCACGGCTTGACGGTACCGTCGGTGGCTGAAGCCTGGGTTGGCTTCTTCTGCATGCCAGGCTACAAGCTGGTGGGATCACCGGCCATATATTGCGACGGAAGACATTGGAATGCCACTGCACCAACATGCATCGGTAAGTTATTGCTATTAGATCGCAGGCCGCATTTGAAATTCTTAACACCACGCAAAAATAACAGTTGAAGCGAGATGTTGCTCTACTTTGCGTACATGTTACGCTCAAAGATCGAAAACGTTCAGTGAGCGGAAAAATAGCTCACAACGCGTTGTGGTCACAGTAAAACATCCACATGGCGAAATTCATGTTATGGTTCTAATGAAAACGCGCACGACGCGTTGTGGCAATCACAGAAAGACCTAATAACGAAATTCGTGTCGTGGCTGACATGCTATTCGATCTCAACGCGTTGTGGCAATGAAGAAAAGCCATGACGCGTTCTGAGCATTCATTGTTTTAACCATATTACGACGGACAGGTTGTAAGTTAATAGAGGACGTGCAGCACCATAAGTACATAAAACCAAAGGTCTCAGTTCCTTACTTCACGGTACGAATACATTGATTATTATGTATTTTATGAATACAGCCCCAGGTTATGGATTCATTGACATGGAATTCCAAAACAATAATTTTCATATTTTTTAGTAAAAAAACACGCGAGAAAGAAAGAGAGAAATCGCAAAAATAAAACTCGAAGAGACGAAAATGTGTATGGGATGAGGATTAATATTCTGTAAACTAAGTTCGGGACATCTGCTAACTAAATGATATTTCCGTTCTTGCTTCTAGATTCTTCTGTGACGAGCAATTTGAGCTGCAACTTTGAGAGTCCCGACCTTTGCGGATGGACGCAGGACGCGTTACATGACTTCGATTGGGAAAGACTGAATAAGAAAACACCTAGCTACTTCCTGTTCACTGGACCATCATACGACCACACGTACGGGAAAGAAGGATCAGGTAAAACAACCTGATCTCCCTTTGCAGCATTTTTTTGAAGTAAAATATCTATTGCGGCGGATGAGAGTGAGGCTGTAGATTGTGAATGCTCATTGTCAAATTAAGTCCACAGCAATACCAATTGGATGCGATTTTTGTTTTCCCACTATGACATGACCCTGAACTTAACTGCGTTGTTTTCGGGCTACTACGACAATAAAATAAACACAATTTAAAATTAAAGGTTTGCTTTATTAATATAGTATTGAGGAGCTCGATGGCGCAAGTGGTTAGCGCCTTCGGCTGCGATCGTCAAAGTTAAGCAACTTTCGCAGTGGTCAGTCATTGGATGGGTGACAAAATCTTCTATCTCGAGTTCGTACTTTGGAAGGCACGTTAAGCCGTTGGTCCCGGCTGCATCTGCAGTCGTTAGCACCCACCAATCCGCACTGGGCCCGCGTGGTGGGTCATGGCCCCATCTCCCTTTTCCATCCATAGGGAAGGCCTGTCTGTCACTGCTGGGGAGTGAGTATATTAATAGGCTGATGATGATGATGAATAAAGTATTTTGTAAATTCGCTTTTTGTATTTTAAATATAAAATTATAAACCAATTTTGTATTCAAAATAAAAAAAAAATATAGAAGTATTTACATTTTGTATTTAAATACTTTTTATAATGTATTTGACTTGACACATTTTTCGATTTTTTTCATCCTTTTACGACTTGATTGTTGCTATATGGATATTTCAAAAGTTTGCTATTTTTTTAATGAAATATTAGGACTTGGTTCTAATTTAACACTTAGGGCGTTTCTACAATCAAAGAGTCCGTTACTTTCAGAAATAATGAAAAAGGTTAATAAATTGCTCTTTATAAGTACCCGTTCAAAAATGTTTTTTTAAATAATCGTTACAGGTTACTACATGTATATAGAAAGCTCTTCTCGTGTGGAAAACGACACAGCCCGTCTACTATCACCGATATACGAAGCTCAACTGGCTTACGACGGTTGCTTTGCGTTCTTCTATCACATGTACGGCAAGTAAGTATCTCATTTCAATGAGGGTCTTAGATTAAAACAAAAAGGGTAGATACGGTACGCTCATACTTGCATCAAACAAAAACTGATCCCACGGCAGCGTGAACGGGACGACGAGATTCGCGTCACTGCATTACCGACCCGAACGAAAAAGCACGTTAAGTTTCAAAGGCAGCGCAAACGAGACGGCGAGATCCGTGTCACTGCATTACCGACCAATCAGGCGACCAGTACTCGACGTCACTACCGAATAAGATTCAAAACAAACAACAATTTTATGAAAAAATATATTTTATAGTACTTACGAATGAAAAGTGATGCCGTGGGTTTTATTTTTAGTTCTTGAGCAATTTGAGCACTTTTTAAAAACACACTTAGGGATTGTTTTATCATATAAACACAAAATATAAGCAATATTTCTTTTTGGCGTTCTCATGTACGTCGTTTGCATGTCAAGTTGTGACTAAAGCGATTAGGGTCGTGGACCACAATTGGTGCGGATCACTTTTGTGAGGCTAGTGCCGTATCTACCCTTTTTGTTTTAATCTAAGATGAGGGTGTATAAGAAACTTTACTTCACTAGTTGAAGCCACTGTGGCATGAGGTGTTTTGTATGAAGTTTTTGGCGCGAATAAATCGAACTAGCATTTAAATTACGACCTTCGTGTCTTCTTCTTCTAGTGCCTCTCCGAACAGCGAAGGTTGGCAGTCAGCTTAGCATACGTCTCCTTATCCTTAGCGAGGTGGAATAATTCAGCGGCGCTCGAGATTCCTGTCCATTCTCGTAGGTTCCTCAACCAAGACTTCTTCCTGCGACGTTTCCTCGTTTTCCAGCAACTCTGCCCATCATTATTAATTGTAAAAAGGCGTACCTTTCGTGTCTCATCACGTGTCCTAGATACGCAACCTTCCTCACTCTGATGGTATCCCAAAGTTCGCGTTGCTTGCCTTGTTGTTGCGTTGTTTGACCTTCGTGTAGGGATCTCAATATCGGACCTCACTGTCAATTTAGATATTTTCGATATTGAAGAATTACGTCTATCGAAATTTCGATATTTTCAGTATTTTCTATACTGAATGTATTTTCGGAAGTAATTATAGTAACCTATTTATTAATCACTTATTAAACTCAAAATCTTTACTTAAACGCCCAAACAATAGCGAATTAGTGCCAGAAATTCTTATTATTACCCTACATGGTACTCGACGGTAATCGCCAGTTGAGGGGTCAATATGTGGGTATTGACCCCTCAACTGACTATTACCGTCGTGTACCTAACAAACCATAGACCGCATGAATACGCTGAGGCAGGATGGTGGCAGGTTATACAGAAGACCGAAGAGTATCTTTGACTTTAGTTTGAAAAGGCGCTTGTCTGCTAATACATTCTCCATATATGTTAAACAGAATGGGGGACAGACTCATGCCATTCCCAAACCTAAAAGCATCAGATGTTCTTTCTACCCAAGCGATTGAACCAAAGCAACTAGATGTTTTGGCACTCCAAGTTCTTCCAATATCTCCCACAGGACCCTCTAAATTATACAGTCGATCGCTTTGCTGTAGTCAATAAAGCACATGCTGACAGGAGTATTGAATTAATGGTACTTTTAAATCAATAAGAGAACATTGAACTGTTTGCGAGTCCCATTATTTATTATATATTTATTGTAAATCTATTAGCGAAAGTAAAAACAGATTTAAGAATCCCGCCCATTTGAATTAAGAAAAAATAAAGTTATTGAAATGGTTTATTCTTAATATATATTTATAGTTTCATTAAATAAAATTGAAATGTAGCAATTTTGCTTCAATATTTTTGATATTCAAACCCTATCTCCGTGGCTGAGTGGTCTCAAGGTGCCTACTTGAGAGTTCCAGGATTCGAATCCCGGTGTGGGCAGATGTTTGTGTGATAAATACTCCAGTCATGGATGTTTAATATGTATTTCTAAATATATATACGTATTCTATCCGATACCCTAGTATCCCATAACACAAGCCTACAGTGCTTACTTTGGGGCTAGGCCAATGAGGACGTTTCTGAAAATATACGTCACCAGTTGGCGCCACGGTGACGTAAAGTCTTGTATGAGGTTTATGACGCGAACTAATCGAACAAGCATTTAAATTGATCCATAGACTATGAAGACATATGCAATTTCACGAATGAGTAGACCTTCCATCTCAGTACTGCCATCTGGTGCCCGTCATTCCAAAAAACCCAATTTCTTTGATAATAAAAAAAGTGCAATAAAAGTCGTATCTTTTAAGCTTTTGAAAACTTCGATGCATCTAGTCAATAATTTTCCCACACAGATACACTGGTGGTCTACGGGTCTACCAGAAACCAGATAGTCTAGGCCTAGAAGAAATGTTGAGACAGCCAGAAGGTCTCCGGCAGAAATATTTACTGTTCGAACAATGGGGTAATCAGGGCGACGTGTGGTATGGGGAGGTCGCCCAGCTGCGAAATTTTTCGGATAACTTCCAGGTGAGTCAGTCGAGATTACCAATTAAACATTGTCGGGGAATTTGGGAGAAGTAGGTACAGCCAAGGTTTATTGAATAGTATCTGAAAGTATTTTTGAAACCACCAACCAAGAAACCACTTGCGCCATCGATGCCAATTCCACATGCCACAGAGCCCGGGAACTTTACTCACCGACAGAAACATCTCCAGCATATGCAGTGTGTTGTTCTAAAGGTAAATTTCTTGATCTTAAATTATCTTTTTCTAGATCGTGGTAGAAGGAATACGCGGCAAGAAATTCACCAGCGACATAGCTATTGATGATGTGGCTATCCTGCAAGGAGAAAACTGCACTTTGGCGGAGAGTTCGATCACGACACCGACTGCGTTCCTCCGTATGTTTACTTGAATTTATTAGTTTTTTATCCATATTCTAGCAAGGTTATTTTGTTTTGAAACTGGATTTGGATTAGGATTATTGCGTTAAAGTTCTGGCAAGACAAGGATTGTGAAGGTTTTTCACTTTCATGGTCTCTAACATTATAGCTATTAACGGGATTGTTACCATGTACCTTTTTAGTTACTCCGTGACCATGGCGCTTGCAACAGTGCCTCATTAAGAAACAAGGTACACGATAACAATCCCGTTAATAACTATAATTATTGTGAAGGGTTATACCTACCAGTCCCATCACCGTTTGTGCGTTTAGAATTCACAAGCGAGGCGATAAGGAGGTTCTTCAAAATAATACGAAACGAGTAACGCGAGGCTGTCTTGGTCGGATGTTCTTTTAATTTTATTGTAGAGCATGTATATGTTGCTACTACTGCTAACATGTATATAAACATTAATAGCATAAAATGCCATTATAATTAGCAATATTGTGAGTCATAATTATCAAAGAAGTTGTTTATCGTGTTAAAGAAACATTACGTTAGGCTTGTTGAAAATATATCGATGTATCGATATATCGATATTTTTTGTTCCATGTATCGATATTTTTAGCCGATATATTCTGATCCGATATATCATACATCGATACAAAATAACCAATATCGAATTCAAAAGAAATATTTTTTTTAATTGTTAGCGTCACATCACGTTCTAACCAAATTCGCTAGAATTAAAAGATTCAAAGTCTTATAAGATTGAAAAAAATCTTAGCTGGATCTCAGATTAATGATATTCAACATATCTTTTATCTATACTGTATTTAGTATTGTCTATGATTTGTAAATATATTTCGCTGGTGAGTTGGTTGTGCTGAATTCCATTAATCTATTTTGTGGTTATATGCGACTGTCTAGTCTCGTTCACGAAAAATACCACTTGAGAGGCCCTGTAATCACTTTCATCATTCGAAATCAGAGTTCGTTCTATTATTATTCCACGTGTCATCTTTCCTGAGATACTCTACTGTCAAGTGCGAGGAGTCAATTCAAAGGCATAGGCCCATGTAGCGGCAATTCGGTACTTTGATTTTGATAGTTCTTTCTTTATAATTTGTGTTGTTATTACTTTGCTAGGCTGATCTAAATATATATTTTTTGTACCGCAAAGTTTTCGGTAAATATGTCCGATATATAAATGCATCGATATTTTTTTCGCGATATATCGAAGCCGATATTAATATTTTTAAAAATCTCGATGTTTCGATATATCTATATTTTTTGACTTTCGACATCCCTACATTAAGTTATCAATGTATTTATGAAGTTCTTGCTTTAGTTTTACTAGCATTACTGAAATTCATTAAGTTGTAACATTAGTATTATACTTATACTAGCAAACCAGTGAACCAAATGTTCACCAAAACCTGATTTCTCGAAAACCGGAAGTGCTACGTTACTCAAATCCGGTTTGTAGTCTTATCAGACTATTCTTAACTTATAACTTAAATATTCTCTTTATCTATCTCTTACGGTTTGGCCGCTGAAACAGCACCACAGACAGACGGACGGACTTGTCTAATAGATAAGAGATTAAAATAAGCATGCATGAGCAATGGATAGCATTAAATATTTGTTATGTATTTCAGCTGACTCCTGCGATGGTAGATGTGTGAACTCCACCGTGCCCCTCCTGAAGCCGCAGCTGGGATGCTCGTGCCACATCAACTGCCTCACCGAGGAGAACTGCTGCGCCGACTTTTTCGAGATCTGTTTTTATAATAATATAGGTATCGTGTTACTCTGATTTCTCACCTTCTTTTTCCATACTTTCTTTTCCTCTTTATTCATTATTCTCTTTTCGCAGACATCAGGTTTTAGTATTTTTCTGAAGCCGAACAGAACAATTACTACCTAGGTCTCCGCTGTTCTGTCTGTCCGTATGTTCATAGGTTTGTCAGTGGACATAAAGAACACTACCTCATTAATAACATAAAACATACAAAATGGGCAGTTAAAATTTTCTCGAAAATATATTTAAATTGTTGCTAGTAATACAATCATTACTATAAAATAAATTTATAGGAGATTTTATAAAAATACGTATTTTTTCAAGGTACGATTTAGACTTATTCTGGCCGGTTAAGTGACATCCTCTACTCCATATTTCCTCGTATCTACATTTACTTTCCTGGCTTGGTAGATCCTCAAATTTATTTAAGAGAAAAAATAACTTGAGTATTCTTAGTCACACAACAAAAAATTACATTTAATGTTTAATATAATAAACTGTTTGTTCATACTTACTTTCAGACTCTACATTAGACGATTCTGACCAAAGTTCTACTACCGTAGAATTACCGCAAACCCAGAAATTGGTAGCAAAAACCTCAACTCCGCTAACAACGACAACAACTACAGAAGCAACTACAACTAAAAAAATCATAACTACTAAACTTGTACCAACTACAGTCAAACCAAAAACGACTACTGTTCCGCAAAAAACAACAAAGAAAGCAGTCACAACCACAACAGATAGTGCGGTAAAAGTGACTGTTACTGTATTCCAGAAAGACGAAATCAAGGACACACCTAAACACGAACCAACAGCATCAATTTTTAAATTAACTAGTACAACAACACTAACACCTGCGACAAAGAAATACACAACGAAAACGACTAAAGTAGTAAACAAATTTACGACATTGAAACCTATAACTAAAGCGCCAATCAAAAAACTTACAACAAATATTCCTGGTGCTACAAAAGCTTTACGAGACACTGGAGGCAAAAAAGGCAGTGCAGACGTGTTTGGCAAACCGCCAGAGAAGAAACAAGGTAATTGTATAAGAAATAATCACATTAGAATAAATAGGAGTAGTTATTTAAATTTTGAAAGTTAATGCTAATCAACAAACGAATTGCTGGTTTGTCAGTCGTTTTAAACAAGGCATTACAGAAGAGCACCGTTTGATCGATACATGCACATCTGATTGCAAAAGATACTCATCTATACTTATAATAAATCTGTAGAGAGGTCAATTCTGTACATGAAATATATTTTCAAAACAACTATCAGGGGGTGATTAGTGATCGATACTGATGCGAAAAATGGAATCAGTAAAATTTTTGTCTGTCTGTCTGTCTGTGTGTATGTTCCTTATAGAAACAAAAACTACTCGACGGATTTTAACGAAACTTGGTACAATTATTCTTCATACTCCTGGGCAGGTTATAGTATACTTTTCATCACGCTACAATCAATAGCAGCAGAGTAGTGAAGGGAAATGTTGGGAAAACGGGAGATTTTACTCCATTTTTTAAGCTTCCGTCGCGTGTGCAGCCTTAATGGTTAAAGTTACATAGAAATCATGTATAACGGAAACATTCTACATAAAATTGTCTAAAAAATATCCCGCAACAGCATATGTCTATCTTTTATGGTTGACTCACAATAACACGTGTAATTATATAAATAAAGTCATTGTTTATAGCACAAGCCTGAGAACAAAAACTATAGTTTACACTACAGCTCTACACCGAAGCGAAGCGAGGGCGGGCCACTAGTCTTTATTAAACAGTTGATAGGCAATGACTTATTGATGTATCATTATTTGAGTGTTACTAAATTGTGAAATGCATTGGAGATCATCTAATACTAAAGCTTTATTAGCAAAGAAAATGTAGTAAAAGAAAAAAAAATTGCATTGACTATATTCAGTAAGTTCTATGATATTTTCGTAAGCGTTTTCCAGGATTTTTAAAAGAAGGCCTGAACGATAACTCCATCACATAGGTATGCCATTATGTACGAGTGCTATGTTTAAGTGCGTTAGCTTTAGACGCTCCAAAATTTACGTGTGTATTGTATAGTAAGGATATTATTCTCTGCGTATGTGTAAAACACCGAGTTCAATGGTGAAAAAAATGAAATAAGATTGAACTTAAGTGTATTATAAAACAAAATAAATACCGTGATTCAGAAAAACATAGAAAAATATTGTAGACAACAGTAACGCCATCCATCGATGACTTTGAAAACTAAACAATATTATTACAAACCTAACATTTACAATAGTGATATTGTACTCTAACACATATACAATTAACATAAGTTTAGATGTTTAATGTAATAACACTAAACAGTTTTAATTTAATACCACTTTTAGTGGTATGGAAGAGGTATAGTGCGCTATAGTAGTGTTATGAATATGTGTTGACAATAGTACTGTACAGTAATAAGGTCTGAATACATGACTTATATTTCTTAAAGTGTTACAAGAAAGGTTTTTAAATACCCTCAAGACCATTTACATTAACTGGTCACCCTCTTGGTATAATAGATTTACAGCAGATTTTTTAAATTTAAATTTTCCATCAAATGCCTGTTCAAGAGAACTATCACACACACTTGTACCTCTTAAGCGATTATTGGGTGCTGTTGTGCGGCTACTATCCCGACTATATCCCGTAGAGCGTTATAATACTCTGTTAAACCACTAAAAAAGAATACAATGGTCATGTGGCTGTAATACCGACAGCTTAGCTGAACAAGACCTGTCTAATCAGCTTGTCTGCTAGTTGGGAGGAACATGAGCGGGTAAAGCATTCCATTTGCGGATAGTTCAACAAAGGAACGTGTCACCAAATATCTATGTGTCACTTGCAAGCTACCAATTATAAATCACATGAATAAAGGAGGCACAAAGACAAAGCTTTATACAATAGGGATGATGACTAATTTTTCTTCGTTTTTTATTTTTTACTTAATTATCAAAAACTATTGGACACGTATTTTTTCTTTTTTCATATAATATAAACATTGCAGAGATATATTTATTTGAAAAGTCGCATGACGTCACGTTTTGGTGCAATTTTCACTTAAAAGTGACGTCGCGAGCCCCTACTCCCAAACTTTGACGCGCTATAACTTTGTCATTTTTTGGTTGATTGCCCAAAGAAAAAATACGTGTCCATTATTTTTTGATCATCTAACTGACGGACTAAATAGAATTTCGTTTACTGTACCCCGTCATCACCCCTATTGCGCGTGTGTGATGAATACACAGTACCCTTAGCACGAACCAATATCGAATTCGTCACGCAGGTGTGGGATAAGCACGTGATGAGCAAAGAAGACACAAGCTAGGCTTCAGTGCGTGGGTGTGATTGAGCAGATGCGGCCTGTCGCTACCCAATAGAAACGTTTTTCTTCTTACGTGACAGGCCACCTGTACCCTTAGTACGAACCAATATCGAATTCGGATAGTTTGCGTCTGCTTGCCCTTAGGTCTTCTTTGTTCATCACGTGCTTATCCCACACAGTGCATTATCAAGCTTTAGTACTAAAATGCGTTAAAATTAGCGTTCCAACATTTAATTAAGCACACCGCTTCAACTGCACATACAAATTTATCGTCTCCCATAATCTCTTTTATGAGTATCAAATTATTGCTAGTCAAGCTATTGTCTAGCGTCTATAGCCTGGGTTCCGAACCTGGGGGTAATTACCCCTCCGGGGATAAATCAGCCATACTTCGGGGGTAACAAAGAACCTAATTATTTGGTCAAATCTAAATAATACTACTAAATAGAGCATGCGCTCCTTCTTGCTAGTGAGCGCGCGGGGTGCTGAGTATGGGAAGTGGGGCGAGATTATCTCCTGATGATGACATTAGTAAAGACGAAGATGTAGCGGCAAAATTGGAATTTCTTGAACTGATGATAACATTTTAAAGTCGGAGTAAAATCTATTTTCCTAATAGGTTACAGGGATAGCAGTATTGGAAAGGTTAGGAAACACTGCTCTATAGACACGCAGCCTACTAATTCATTACGACAGAACTAATTCAAATTTTTAAAGTGCATTCAGTACCAAAGACAAATATAAAATGGGAGAAGCATCTCATGTGATAAATCCTCTCCGCTCTTGCGATTCATTAGCTCTCTTTATCCCTCTTTCTCATTCAGGCTATATGTCCAACTCCTTTACTCTTCAAGCCATACGGCTGTGGAATGACCTACCCGACTCCATCAGAAGATCTCCAAATAAACTCATATTTAAAAGGAATGTTCGCACTCATCTGCTTCAAAATTTAAGATAAAGGGTCACTTTATTAATCATCATCTTGTGTATAGTTATGTGTATATATATATATATATATATATATTTAAATATAATTGTGGTATGTATGTTTGTGTGTGTATTCCTTTCGTAAGTAGTATCTATTTATATATGTATCTATGTTAATTCGTTTAAATTTTAATATTATTTATTATTTCAATATTTATGTGCATATTTAGCTGTATACCGCCGTTCGCGTTTTTCTTTTTTCCCAAAGGTTGACTGGGAGAGAATGCTATTAGCATTAAGTCCGCCTTTTGTGCCATTGTATTGTATTTTGGTCAATAAAGTTTAAAATAAATAAATTATTCCTCCCAGGTTCCGGCTGGAAAACCTTCGCTATCACTGCAGTGGCTCTATTGTGCTGCGCGGGCCTACTATGGGTGGCCGTAGGAGCGCGGGGGGCGCGGGGGCGCGCGGCGCTCGCCTACCTGCGCGGGCGCGTGCGACACGACCCTGAAGTACGCTACCTACACTCATCGGCCAACGACGAAGACTAATAAAGCTTGTTTCGTATTTTATGTGCGTTTTATTGCCTCAGCTTAATGATTAAGGAGCGTTATACTCAATCCTTAAGTCTATTAAGTATCTTTTCCTTTTTTGTAACTGGTTACCTCAGATTTGTTGGACGAAAGTAGAAACTCAAAATGCCGTTTGCGATCACGCAGCACAATCAAGATTTAAGCGCGATTCCTATCAGCGAAAATTACTATGACGAAGTGTATTGACGTCCGCGTTTGGGTTTTCCTCCTTTTAGTGTCGCCGCAGACGGGCCACACGCCACAGCCACAAACGCCGCCATGAGGAGCTAGAAGCGGCTACTAAAGTGGCTGAAGCACGCGACAGTGGCTGACTAAGGTAAGGGTGGGGAATCGCGCGACTGACCTGTGGCGGCGTATTGTATCGGCGCATTAAGTGGCCGGTGCGGGCTCAAAAAGTGAGCAACGACGATTTGTAGCGTGTGGCGGCCGGCGCACCGTGTGTGGCGAGTCTATATAAAATGTATGAAAACTACAAGAAATATGCCGGTGGCGGCGTTTGTGGTTGTGGTCCATGGCGGTGCGGCGACACTTACTGGTGGGTTCGGGAGTGATGCGTAGCATCTTACCCCGGGCTACATCTTACGGCTACATCTCATCTTATCTTACGGGGGCGCGCCCCCGCGGGGTTGAGTGCCGCTAGACAGCAGCCGTCGTAGGTGACGAGTCCGTTCCATTCTTCTCTGTCATTACCAAAATAGATTTACTACGAACCTCAGCGCGGTCTGCCATGCCAGATGAGAACCCTTTTTAGGGGAGACCCAGCTAGCGCCAGCAGCAGGTTTTTGTAAGTTTGGCGGAGGTTAAAGAATTTGCGCATGGGTAGATAGGTTATTAAGGTGCGAGAAAGGATTTTTGAATATTCCACCGTGAATTTGGTGATATAGGGGTTGAAAGTTTGTATGGGAAAACGAGTTTGGCTAGCTTGATAGCTTTGAAACTTGGGAACTTTAATGAATCTTAAAAAAACGTGTTTCAGATTTTTTTAAATTCGATCTCTACGATGAAAAATAAGGATAGCATGTTATCTGTAAAATATACTCAGCAACACTCTAATATTATTATGTTATTACTAGCTGCGCCCCACTGCTTTACCCGCGAAATTCCCGTTCCCTTGGGAATTCCGCAATAAAAAGATAATCAACATACCTATATGCCTTAAAGAATATCTTTTCTTAACAGAAAAATCAGGATGGCCATGGCCATGGCTAAGTAGATTTAATATACTCGACCTATTTATTTACTTAGAAACTTTTTGCTTAGCTGAAAAATCAGGTGATTGCTGATTAATTATTTTTCCATAGTATTTCATACACCCGTGTGAAAGCCGGAACTGGCCGCTAGTCCACAACAAATGCGTATGCGGAATTTTGCTACCGAACCGACACTCGGCAAAATAAAAAAATAAATAAATATTTCCAACACACACCAATTAGCCTAGCCCCAAAGTAAGCACTATAAGGCTTGTGTTATGAGATACTAGGGTAACGGATTGAAAATATATACTGTACATATATAAGTATATTTATATAGAAATACATATCCATGACTGGAGTACAAACGCTCGTATTCATCACACAAACATCTGCCCCCACCGGGATTCGAACCCGGGACCTCTCGAGTCGGCGACACCATGAAATTCTGCGTACAAACCACTAGGCCACGGAGGTCGTCAAAAAAATGAAATTAAAAAAGTCCTTCCTCCGCTAGGATTTAAACCAGGGATGCTTGCGTGGCAGTAGAGCTTTCCACCACTGAACCACCTATGCTTGCTGATAAGGGTTGATTATTTCATCTATACTTATAATAAATCTGTAGAGATGTCAATTCTGTACATGAAATATATTTTTAAAATAACTATCAGGGGGTGATTAGTGATCGATACTGATGCCAAAAATGCAATCAGTAAAATTTTCTATACTTATAATAAATCTGTAGAGATGTCAATTCTGTACATGAAATATATTTTTAAAATAACTATCAGGGGGTGATTAGTGATCGATACTGATGCCAAAAATGCAATCAGTAAAATTTTTGTCTGTCTGTCTGTCTGTCTGTGTGTTTGTTCCTTATAGAAACAAAAAGTACTCGACGGATTTTAACGAAACTTGGTACAATTATTCTTCATACTCCTGAGCAGGTTATAGTATACTTTTCATCAAGCTACAATCAATAGGAGCAGAGTAGTGAAGGGAAATGTTGGGAAAACGGGAGAAGTTACTCCATTTTTTAAGCTTCCGTCGCGTGTGCAGCCTTAATGGTTAAAGTTACATAGAAATCATGTATGACGGAAATATTCTACATAAAATTGTCTAAAAAATATCCCGCAACAGCATATGTCTATCTTTTATGGTTGACTCACAATAACACGTGTAACTCCCGATAGCTTAGCAGTTCGGAGCATTCTGATCATATTTGTTTATTCTTACGTTTATAATACTCTGACTCATCCCTAATTTAAAAAAGTTAACATTATTACCTATTCAATAAAAAAAAGAACATAGAAATCGGTATAGAAACACCAAACTTATACATGAAATAAGCCACCGCGCCGTCGCACGTGAATACTGAATCATGCTATAAGGATTATTTTTGTGTAACACTTGCCGCGCTCCACACGGGTCGCGGCGGTGGTAGGGTATCAAAAGGCGGGAGGTCCGAGAGCGAGCTGTCTAAAATCTGTTTTCTGCGTCGCTCCCCCCCCCCCCCCCTGGGGGACGATCGCTTCCGATGAAGCCTTAGAGGCCTTCCCAGCCAGGGGCAGCCCCTACGGGTGTTTTTTTAGTCACTACGAGTCTGACATAACCTTGCAGCCGGCTGTAGGGTATCCATGAGGATTTCTCACCTGCTCTCCCGCCTGGGAGGAAACAAAAAAAAATAAAAAAAGAGAGCGAGCGAGCTTCAATTTGGCTGTTGATGCGTTCAGAGCGTTCGACCTTATTGACAGACAATAATTGATATTGAGAAACCGTGCTTATCAGCGCGACTTTTAGTCTTAAAATAGTTTTTTTGAATTTCTTTTGTTGTTATTTTGTAAAATAGGTATTAGTTGTTTTGGCAGTGTTTAAATATTCGTTCAAATTAAAAATTATTAAGCATAGGTACTTTTATTAATTAAAGTAGTTATAAGTATTTATTTTTAAGTGAAGTAGGTATAGGTAGATAGTATTGCACAGGCGTTTCAGCTTTATTTTCATTTCTTTTTTGTTGTGAGTTGTCATATATTTCTGATTATAATTCTATAAGAATATTTTAGTTTAAAGAGTCACTTAGTTTTTAAGTGTGAGGTAGCTAAAGTTAGGACCACGTATTAGTTGTTTTGGTAGTGTTTAAATATTCGTTCAAAATGTAATTTAATCATATGGAATGAATGTACGATGGCCCATCGAAAAGGAGTAGAAGCGGTAGACAGAACTTTAAGGGATATAAGACAAAATGATCGACCAATGGGCGGTATCACAGTTTAATTTTGTGGTGATTTCCGACAAACCCCACCGGTAATACCACGGGGAACCCGAGCTGATGAGATTAGGGCTTGCCTGAAAAGCTCTTATTTGTGGCGTGATATACAATCGGTGCATTTGACTATGAACATTCGAGTGAGAACTGTAGATAACCCGGATGATCCTGAATTTTCTGATATATAAAGAAAATACCTTCACCAAAGATACCTATCCACTGCTACACCAAGGAAAACTTATTCTGACGCCTGAGTTATGTTATATAGTGCAATCCCAACAACATCTTATATCGTCAGTTTACGGTGACGTAACAAATATATTAAAAAAGGACAATTCTTGACTATGCGAAAGGTCCATTTTAACTCCTCGCAATGACCAGGCATCTGAGATTCATAATAAAATACTGTCGAATATCCAGGGGGAAAGCAAAGTTTATAGTTCAATAAATAGAATAGCAAGATGAACAAGAAGCCACTAATTACCCGATAGATTTTTTAAATTCTTTAAATATGCCCGGACTTCCTTCTCATGAAATTTGTTTAAAAATTGGCATTCCGATTATTCTGCTCCGAAATTTAAGACCACCACAACTTTGCAATGGAACTCGGCTTAAAGTAACCCAGTTGCAACAAAATGTAATCGAGGCTCAAATTTTAACAGGCTGCGGTGCAGGAGAAACCATCTTTATTGCCAGAATTCCCATGATACCAAATAATTTTCCATTCCAATTTAAAAGAACGCAATTCCCAGTATCGGTGTGTTATGCAATGACAATAAATAAGGCTCAAGGGCAGACTATTCGTGCTGCTGGAGTAGATCGCGGTGTCAGTTGTCTTTCACATGGTCAGTTATATGTCGCTCTTTCCCGGGTTAGCAGTTTTAGAAATCTTTATGTTCACGTGCCGGACGGGTCAACTTTCAACGTAGTTTACCCGGAAGCTTTGCGCTGAAGTATTTCATTCTATATGTACTTAAGCCTCATGTGAAAGTAATCTAAACAATATTACTAATACATTAACATAATAACATACAAGGAGTTACACGCTGATGGTCTCGGGGCACAGTGATAATAATAATATTCTGCGGTTCCTTATTGCGATATTTTTAACAGTATTGTCGATTGACATATTATATTTCCCTACTAAAATACGAAAGTTAATCTGTCTATCATATCAAAACCACGGAACCCTGAGGAAGGACATATTTATACTACTTTTTTACGAAAAAACGCTGACGAAGTCGCGGGAAAAAGCTAGTAACAATTAAAAATGTAATGCGACATGCTAAAGATAAACAAAACAATTATGCCGATGTAATAAAAGGTTCACTTTAAAAACATTTCTGCTTCCTGCAAACTCGAATGTGATTCCAATCTCAAAATTATTCTCAAATTATTACAAACATTATGCTTCATCTACCTGCAACGCGTCAGGGATAGCTGCGCATGGGTACGACTGGAGAGCCAATCGGCGCAACGCACGCCCCCCGCGCACCTCGTTTCCCCCC